GCGGAGTTCCTTTCCCCACCAACCCTCCCCCCGTGTGTTTTGTTTCTTATCAGACGGGCGCCTCGCTGGAAGCCGCCTCTCGGTCGGACCTGCTGTGCTGCGTTTCCAGTTTCCAGTCGCGGCCGGTGCCCGCCGCCTCCCCGGCAGGATCCGCACCGCCCGCCCTCGCACCGCGCCGGGGAGGGCGAAGGCGCCGGGGCCGCCGCGGCTCCTCCTCCTGCTCCTCCTGGCGCTGCCCCGCCCCGCAGTGCCAGCGAGCAGCCGGGACGGGCGGCGGCCGCAGCTCATCCGCAGCACCCGCGGTAGGCGCGACCCCCGCGGCGGGCCGGGCCGGGCCGGGCCGGGCCGGGGGGCGAGGGACAGCCCGTGTGCGGGGCCGGGCCGTGTCCCCGCAGGGACGGGGACCTTGGGGCGGCAGGAGCCGGGGTGACGGGCAGCGGCCCGGAGCTGGCGTAGGGGCTGTCGGGGCGTGCTGGAGCTCCGCGGTCGGTGGGAAACGACTCGTGTTTCCCAGGGAAGTGGGGTGGTTTCGGAGGAAGAAGGGGTGTTTCGCTGTTGTAGTTGCAGTTCGGTACTTTGCCTGTGCCCGTATCTTATCTCGAGCTTGTAATTTTGATGTGTACAGTTAGAAAGCAGCCTAAGATGGTAGGCTGGATATTACGCAATGCCTTTTTTTTTTTTTTTTTTTAATTTCTCCCCCCTCCCCCGAAGGTCCCATTCTGCAAACTGTAGAACTTCACTACCTCTTATACTTTACTACTTCTTATACGACATGTACTTAGAGTGCTTTGAAGACACTTAAGCGTCTTAAAACCAAAACTCTTCAACTCTTGCTACGTGTGTGCGACAGAAAACCACACAAACATCTTGAAGAAAGATGAAGTTCCTCTCTGTCCCCATCCTGTTTCTGGGAAGTAAGGGAATATTTTCGTGGGATATGTCTTTATTTTTTTCTTAGATTAATGGTAGTTCCTGGAAGCTGCTTCCTGATAAGGAGGGACAGCTGAGGGGCAGCGTTCTAGAGGGAGTGGCGGAAGCATGTAAGGCAGCTCAGCCTGAAAGGAGCCAGATGCACTGGGGCAGAAAGACTGAGCTGAAGGTGTGGAGAGAAAGCAGACTGGCAAGAGAGAAGAAAAGTGCTGGTGCAGTGTGTTTTGGTGGAGGAGCTGATTATTAGGGTTTATGCCTCTAAGCACCTGGCCACCATAGCAGGTGGGAGGTTCATTCTCTGACAAGCCCCAGCACAGTTATTTTCTGTTGAGTGAGTCAGTGCTTTACTGGAGTACTCGTGGTAACATCAGAAACGGTGCAAAACTAGTGTGAGTGTATGGCTGCTGTAAAACTTGAGTGTGTGAACGCTTCCCTATAGCTTGACTATTTCTATAATTTCCTGTTTTTCAAGCTGCTGTGACAGTCATGTGGACCACTCTCCTCCCACTGATGCAGCAGGATAACTTGCACTGAGCATTGCTTCCCGTTTCACCTGTGGCCCTGTCCCCACTGCATTTCTGTTGAATTTTTTTCTTCCTGAAAGTGCCTCTGTAGCTACTTCTTGTGACTTCCCGCCCACCCTGCTCCCAAAGCACTGGGAGAATTTGTTGTATAGAAGACCATAAAGATTCAGCAAGATTTTGAAGGGCCTGATGATTTTATGTCAACAATATTTATTCATCTTTCTCTTGTCTGACCTCATGCCTCAGTAGGTACCTCATGACGTCAGAGGCCAAAATGTCTCTATGAATCTATACTTAAAGTTTCTGGAGTAGCCATCACATTTATTATTATTATTATTATTATTATTAGTTTGTTCTCTATAGTCCCCAGAAGTTTTGACTCATTAGACTGGAAATTCTGTGAAATGTCAAAAGTCACTAAAAACTATAATGAAACCAGCGTGGGATGAATATATTTCAGGGGGGCCTTTATGCAGTCAAAGAAAAAAACATTGTAAAGATGTAGTGTTAGGTAACAACTTAAAATACCGAACTTGATCTACTACAAAAAGCCAAACCAATCTGTCTGCTTTGAAGTTCACAGGAGATGCCGTTTCCTAGACCTCTAGCAAGTTTCAAAAAATGGAGCTTCCAGAGGGTCTGTTGAGTAATATTGCATTAATCAGAGCTTATGTAGTTTTAGTTCTGTGATAGAGATCTGGGGATAAAAAAAGGAAGCTGAAGTTAAAGTAGAGTTGTAATTGAAAACAGCAGATGGTTTAATTGTGGCTACAGAAATAGCAGGGCTTTTGAACAATTTGAAGGTTTCATTTATATTTAGCCAAGGCTCTGTATAATCATCTATAGAAACTTTCCTGTCAGATTCAAATTGCAGTTAAAGGCTTCCATTACATTAAATATACAACTGAATAATGGCGCCAGTGTAATTTCTTTTTTTATTTCATACATTTATGTCAACTACCTTGAAACATGTTTCTTATTGGATATATTTTAAAAATGTATTATGTAAACTGTTGGAAATAAGGACAGAGACTTGTTAGCTGTATGTAGTGACTTTTGAGTTTCTCTTGAAGAATGTGGTAAAAGACTTTTTTGGAGGGGAAAAAAAAAAGAAAAAGCTGCATGTTTACCCCTCAGTGAGCAACACTTTCACCTGTTTGAAACTGGAGTTGTTGTCACGCACAGTAGGGAAGGTCGTCCCTTTGGTTTTGCCAGTTTATTTGAAAGCAGGTGTGTCTGATGTAAATGCTGAATTTCCTTCAGGCAGTTGCCCAAGCTGGGAAGAATGTAATGCAGTGGTAAAAGTTGTAGATAAGCAAATCAAAGGACAGCAATAACAATAGAGCTTCTATTGTTGCTCCATGTTTGTTCCAGATTTTATCAGAGCTCACTGCAGAATCTTGATAAGAGGTTAGGTCCTGGCAGGGACAAGCCTGGAGTCACTTATGGGTCAGAGTAGGGACTCACTGGTGTCCGTCTAGGACACAGTTTTTATTACGTGCTTGTGATGACCAAGCAGCCAATCCTGCCTGTGCTTAGCAGCTGTTTTTTTGTTTGCATGTGTGAAATTGTATCCATACTGTTCAGCTGTCACAGGTGCTGAGTGTGGACCAGATGCTAGTGACTAGATTGTAAAGTTAGACTGAATAAAACAAACACAAGCCCACACAGCCTCACTACCTGACCGCTCCCTGTACGGTGCAGAGTGTCAATGCTGTCCAAAACATAACTATGTTCTTTTCTAAGATACACAAAGGAAGGGAACTAAGTCCCTGCCAAATACTGGCTCTTTTTTCCCCGTCATGGTTTCTCTGATGGAGAGAGGAGATACTGTCTTAAGGGAAGGTTAAAAGTGTTTTGGTTTTTCGTTGTTGTGTTTGTGGGGTTTTTTTTGTTGTTGTTTTTTGTTTGTTTGTTTGTTTTGGTACAGAGTGTGGGTGGTGGGATTTTTTGAGGGCATTGGGGAAGTGTCACTGGTAGGTCATTCTGTTCTTTAGCTCAGTTGTTCTCTTGAGGAAGCACCGGACTTCACCATTTCCTTTATTTTTTGCAGTCATTAATACAGTTCATCTGTAGGAGAGGTGAGCATCTAATTTGGGCTTTTCAATCTGAACTTCTGGCAGTCTTAAGAACTCTCAGACAAACCAATCCCATATTAAAAATCTAAATAAGTTTTAAAGCTTCTGAAGGCCTCTGATTGTGCTAAATCTTTACTGTAACCATACAGTCAACATGCATGTGAAGTGATACTCGCTGTGATTAATTTCTGCATCCCAAAGACCTTTGCCTTGGGTAAAAAAAGCACGTTAATTTCGAACTGTGGTCTTGCTAATTGCTCCAGATTAGGTGTTCAAGTTACCTGAAGCAGACAGCACGAATATCCCTGTTATTGTTGCTAGAGATAACAACTTTAAACTTGGAACATTGCACTTATTGTGTAATCAGTGCACCCCTCTATAGTCTGAGTAACTGGTTATTGGTTACACTCGGCAGTGTTTTAAAAATACTCGGTTTTCTACTAGCTAGGAGAAGAAATGCATCTTACAAATGTTAGGACTTAGGGGGAAATACTTATTTTTCGGTAGTATGCTTTGAGGACCAAGGCATGCTGATCTCAAGTACAGACTAGGTTTGAAGACCATTGTCTTGCTTTCTTTTCACATTGCTTGCTTATGGTTGTTGTGAAATACCTGTCCTTCTCTTTTACTACCCTAAATTGTTTTTTTTCTTGAATAAGTCTGTTCCTGGAAAGAATTAATGAGCTGTAAATCAGTGATTCCCTATAGTGTGAAATGAACGGGGGCGTGTCCATTTGCTCACTGATGAGTAGTAATCTTCCTGGTGTTGCTGGACCACTGTGTGCGTAAACCTTCCCTGTCTAGAAATCATGAAAACCATCACCTTTAAGAAAAAGTTGATGTATTTGCACACTCATATTTACCTCTTTTTCATCTGTGGCATCCCAAGTCTGTCAGCCTGGTGTGGGGCATGGAGATTTTCTGTGCAGGGTATGGTGCATCCATACAGCCTTTAGCTAAGGTCCTGTGCGGGTCTGCCAGTGTGCCTGTCTTTGGGAGTCGTCACTCAGACAGCTTGCTGTTATTTGGCTTCTTCTTTGCAGCCCAAACAGCATAAATATGGCAAGTATTGTCAGAGGACTTTTGTTGTCCTTTTGTTCTACTGCCTCGAAGGGCTGGGGAACACTGAAACCCTCCTGTTTTTGCAGTGGGGCCACTCTCTGGCTCTGTGATTCAGGCTTGGGCACAGCAGCTAATTAAAAATCGTTGGTGTGAAATGAACAATCAGGTATTTTTCTAGTAATTGTTTTAGGGCACTGAATGTTACACTGTTGCTTTAGTTCATGCAGTAATTGGTATGTACCTATTCTGACTTGCACAAATGATGTAGAAATTTGTTGTTGCATGGTGGAACTTAAAATAGAGCATAAATCCCTGAGGCATTAGTCAATTGGAAACATAATTCAGACTATTTATAGCATGACTGGTTTTTGCAACAAATTATTTTTATGACAAGTTATGAGTTTGAAATAGAACAATCTCATTCCATTATTTCTTCAAACATTTCATAAACTTATTTTGGTATTATTTCTTGCTTCTTGTGTTGTTTGGAGACTGTATTTGTATTGTCATGTATGTTTTGACTTGTATTTTAAATATTCCAAGGACAATATTGCAAGAGTGTGCTGCAAAAGGAAACACTTGTATCAGGGCAGAGTAGGAAGCCAGAGTGAAATCACTCTCTTGGAATTAACTCATGTTTTTGCTGCATATGGGTTGTCCTTGCAGCTCAGTTAAGTTCCTTGGGTTTTGTTGCCTTGAGCATATGTGTAGGGCTTCTATCACTGGAAAGGTTGCATGAATGTTCTTATTCAACATTTTTGTAGCTTACTTGTGGCTTATGTGTCTGTCTTTGCATACAGCTTTTCTTTGTTGGACTGGCAACTGCTCTCCTTTACTTTGACTAAGTTTTTGTAAGTGCTATTTTCTGATGCTCTTTCCTGTTCCCTGCTTATGCCAGAAGGTCAAAAAGTGCTAGATTATCTTCCAATAAAGTATTTCTGTAATAGTAGTGATTATGATGATGTGAATTAGAAGGATCATTGAAACTGGCAGTGCTCGAGTTGCAATACTAACAAACAATTGAAATGGACAGTTTAAAAAAACCCTCTTATTTGAATTTGTTTCTGTTTTGCCATCTATTCAGAGCTGGTTTGCATTTTTTTTTTAAGGAAACTTTTCCTGTAGGAAGTGGATGATATGTTAGTACTCTTTAAATACATGTTCTTGGATGAAGTCCAGTAAAGGTGAACAGCGAGTGATAAGATCTGTGTAAAAGAGGTTTCCTGAGTTTTGGGTGGCATGAACTCAGCCCTGTTGGAAGAGGAACCCATTCTACTAAATAACTTTTTTTTGATAGTGAAAGGAAGGCTAGACAGGGAGTCACATACACAGAGGACTTAATGAGAAATGAAAATTGCAGGGCTTTTTATCTGTCAGGATGAAAAATATTTCACCTGGTACAAGAGAGAACAACTTGTATGCTGCAGTGCATGAGTCAAAGATAAATCTTGCTCAGGCTCGTAAAATAGCAGTTAGCTGGTATGATGCTGACTGTGGCTTGTCCTTGTCTTGCAAAAGCACAGTGGTGTGTGCCTCGGTTCATATCTGATGAAAAACGACAGCATATTGTAAGGTGATAAACTCTGTTCTGCTGGTTTCACAATCAGGGATCAGTCTCGGAGCAGGCACTGTAATTTATAGCTTTAGGCTGCCTTTTCTACTGTATCCTGGTAATTAACCTTGTGGAGGAGTAAAGGCCAAAGGTTTCACTTTACTCGATGTTCCCTGTGAAATGGGCATAATTAAACTAATTATTTTTGACAAATAAAGGTCATGGTTTCTCATCCACTTTTTGTCCTCAAATTATTTGAACCTTGGCATAGCTGGAGCCTGAACAGCAGCCACTAAATAAATTCCAGCAATGGGTGTGAGTGCAGTTACTGAGCTTATTTCTGTTGTACCTTGAAACAGAAGTTTTCTGGCAGCCTTACAATTTTATTCTATACTTCTACCATCATTACATGTAATTTGTATCTCTGTTAAAAATTTCTCCAGTTGTAGTCCTTTTTCTACTGTGCTGTGTCTTAGAGAAGCATATTTTCAAGATTGCCATTGAAAGTATATTACAGATTTAATCTCTTATGAACAGGTCTGTTTCCTCTTACTTTTGCCAAGCAGCAGGAAAATGCTGAAGAGCCTGAGCACTTCGTGGCTTGCAGTGATAGCCATCAATGTTCACTGTGGGAGTAAAACCTCAGGTCTTTATTTAGAGTCCTGAGGTCGACCTCCAGGACTGAACACTGGAAATGGGGAGAGGACCTTAACAGTATTTGTTCTGTATTTCCTTCAGGGCACTCCTTCTTTCCATGTGTGGTTTGGTTGTTTGGATTTTTTTTTTCCTCCTCATATGCACTACTTTTTTTATGACTGAGCAAACACAGACCTTGCTGTTCCTGCATCCTCCCACGCAATATTTGTATAGCAGGGTGGATTTCTGTATCTCCTGTTTCCTGGCCTGTGTCACCACTTTGTTGTCAGCAGCCAAGTGCTGCTTGTCACTAACAGTTTTAGTAAGATGTTGTGGATTTAGCAGCAGAAAGTTTGGAAGATGGGATTAGAAGATGAAGTGGAGACAATGTTGTGGGAGTGGTTGGGAAACTTACCTTTCTATGTTAATATTTCTTAAGCTAGAGTGTTGGCCAACAGAGACTCGGTGAACTACGGAAAAGGTGGTCATCAGGGAGGTTTTTGAACACGAGAAGTCAGTGTGTTTGTGGATCTAGTTTGTCTGGAATCAAACCAGTCTGGGAAAATTTCCCCTTGGAAAGGTCCTGGATAAATACAGTGTTTGAAAGAAGCAAGTGGAACATTTTTATATAGAGAGTAACATTTTTTTTCAGATTGCTAATGAAATTAGCTGTTACTTCTCAACCTCAGCTTTAATTGCCAAAAGGCTCTTTTAATCTTTTTTTTTTTTCAATTTAAAATGAACATTCTACATAGGATTAAAAGCAAGTAAACAACCCTTCTAAGAAAAACAAGGCCTATCCCAACCTACCACAAAACAAACAAACCTTTTGCCTTAAATCTGTACCTAAAGCTTTATTCAAAAGGCATCTTAAAATTTTTTTTAATATCCTGTCATTGTATTTGCATGTGAAGCTAAAAAAATAACTAAGAAAATAATTATGGTTGTACCCAAAGAAATAAAATTAATTTCAGTGCTATAATAATTTGTATCTAAAAATGTACACACATTGACATTATGCATGCTAAGAATCTAGATTGTGTGTGGGTTCCTTGTTTGTTTTTTGAGTGACTTGGTAATAATTGTTCTTTTTTATTTTTTATGCTTTATTATGTCAAGACTGTTACTGAGTTAGAGAGGATCTGAAGTGCCAGGCTGCCTTCTCTTGTTTTTTTTTTTTTAATCTTTTTTTCTTCTGACCTCTCTCCAGTCCTGTGCACCTGTACCTCCTGAGAAGCTGTATTTGCTTATTGAGTCTGTTAGACACTTTACATACGGGAATAGGTAGGTAGGGTTATAACTTTTGGTCTCCTCTGTTCATTGTGGTTTCTCTTAGTTAATTTCTCTCTCTTTAAATTTAAATTAGTGCATGCAGCATGAAGTCCAAACAGTTTTTAAATAAAGTGAAGATTCTCTAATTGTATTTTCTTTACTTAACAAAAAAAAAAAAAGAGTATTTTTCCATTCCATTGTTGCTGTGCAAAAGAGCCATGCAAAACCAGAAGGGGAAATTAACGTGATTATACAAAATGAAAACAATTCCACAAGAGCAGCACTACCCCCCCAACCCAATCCAAAACAAAACTCCACAGCTGAAATCCAAAACATGGCAAAACAAACCAGATGCAAAAGGCAGTGCTTTAGGGGAAAGAGGGAAAGAAAAGAAAGGGATAGTTTGCACAGCAATTCTAAAAATAGACAATAGGAATTGTCACTAAAAATAACCTCTAAAAAGTTAAGATTCAGTGTGGATGTTTTCTTCATCTGGAACAGGCTCCTTGAGTTACTTTTACCATTGTTCCTGAGAGTTGTTTTGTTGAAAATAAGGCCTTTTGTATTCTGGAAGACAGTTTTAATTTTGTCCTTCATTTAGCTGTTCTTCCTTTTTGACCTCCAGTTCTATTTTGAACATCTGATGGCTGTGCACTTCTGTGCTGACAGAGCCACTATCCATTTTAAGAGATCCAGTTTGTTCGAGTGATCTTATCCTATCACTAAACCCTTCATATTTTATGACAGCGCTGTAAGCATGAAGGTGTATCCCTTGTGCTTCTTACTCTGACCTTGCACTTTAGTAGGTGTCTGCATTTAGATGCCTTCTAACACTTCTTACACAGTTACTCACTTGAGATGTAGCTTGTTTGTCAAATGATTTTCTACTCTTGATTAATCTCACTGTTCTGTATAGGCTGCAAACTTCTGGAGATTTTAATATCTCAATAAAGGAAGCATGTTCAAGTAATACATCCTTAACAGTAGAACAGACCAAGTAAGCAGTAAGTAGCAACTGGAACAAATAAGAAAAGTAGTCTGAGGAGTGACTCTGCAACTGCATAGCTATCTGAACGTGTTTATCAGTCCAGCAAAAGGAAATGGTAAAGAGATTTCTCAGACAAAAGCCTGGGCAAAGTGGGCAGTTTTATGTCTTAATTTTGGTAGTTGGCTACTACATGCATGTTGCCTCTTAGTTGTATGTGGTGTAATGAGTGAAGCATTACAGAAAATAACTGTATCACACGTATTTTTCAGATCTTTGCAATGAGTTACCCGGGCTATCCCCCAGCTGGTGGATATCCACCAGCAGCCCCAGGTAAGTGCTTAGATGAAATAAACTTCAAGTGGTAGTGGTGGTCCAGTCTGGAGAGAAAAGGTGGCATGGACAAAGAACAAGACTGCAGGGTATTTTCTTGACTCACCAAAGCTTTCTGTATGCTCTTGTTAAGTCCTATTTCATCTGGGCTGGGGATTCTGATTTATCTAATATATGTGCTCTGCCATGTGCTCATATAAAGTCCATTTTCATTCATCTCAGATGAATCACACAACACTAGGAGATGGTCATAGTTTGAAAAATTTCAGCAAGTGTCCAAGGATCTGTTGGTACTGAGTCGTGAAGGTAACTGGTGAGAAAAAGAAGTATGGGGAGGAATCAGTCACACTACTTGAAACCATATCCCACAAATAATTCGGCTCTTTATTATGAAATTATCCTCAATTTGCTATTTTTAGGCAGATTGCATTCTTAGGTTGCATATGGAAGGCAGAGTGCTGTTAGAAAGAGTAGCAAGCTGATATAATATAATACCAAACTGATAAAATATGCAACTACTGCTTGTTTATCAGTGTGTACTTCACAGTTTTCAGTATTGTTGATAGAAAGGACTGGAGCCATGCAGTGGCCAGGGTGGAGTTAGGCAAACTAACTCAGGAAGGGGAAGTGATGTACACTGAAAAGCCACACTACCAGGGAGGATAAATTCTATTTTTCAGCAGAGTATTCTGGTTTAAGTTAGACCATACTACTGTGTGCAGCCAAGTTTTATGACTTGGGTGTTTGTGAATAGACTGTCGTGCTCTGTGGACATCTCTCAGATTAGCAGCATCAGTGGAATTAATAATGTCTTCCTACTAGACAACTGTGTAGTTTAAGTGAAACTACTCTCTAGTGAAAATATGGTGTTTATAGTATTAAGTCTTGAGTATTAACCTTGAAATAGGTTTATAGTTGTTTTAAATGAGACCTTACAGATTAGGACATGACTAGAAATATCCAGTGAGATTTCTCTTTATATAGTAATTACACTGCTACCCTGCACCTCTTCATTTGATTTTCTTGTAGTGTTGAACACATATTACATTAGAAATTTAAGTGGTAAGAAGTTTAAAAAGGTATAGTTTCTTGTTTCAACACAGCTGTGTTTGATTTCAGGTGGCAGTCCTTGGGGTGGTGCTGCCTATCCACCTTCAAATCCACCTCCAATTGGTCTGGAAAATGTGTCTGGCTATGCCAACCAGTTCAATCCCAACCAGATGGCTGGAATGGTGAGTTTGCTTTCATTTAATGTGTTTTACTGTGACTTCTTAAGTGCAAAGTTGTGTTTCTGGCATTGTCACTGAAAAGTTTATCACTTGAATTCTATGCCTTTATGTCTGTTTAGGTGTTGAACATTCAACATCATCTCTTGAAGCTGCAAGCTATTCCTTGTTTTAGCAAAACAGAGCACTAGTTAAATGTTGATTTAGTCTAGCTTCAAAAGTCGTGGACATAAAGTATACATAAGTATAACTTGGCTTTTGCTGTGTAGAGGAGTAGGGAAAGAGACTATTAACACAGAGTATCCTTTGTTAATATATTCACATTGGCAAACAGAGTCCAGATTTTACCTATTACCTGGATTTTGCCTAGTCAGAGTAAGGAGGTATCAATGACTCATCCTTGAAAAGAATGTAGGATTGACTATCTCTTATAAGCATTGAAATTTAACAGATGGAAGTAAAAACCTTCTACATTGATTGAAGAAAATGCAGACGTTTCCAATGTGATTTTTTTTTCGTAGAATAGAAGTGAGTGACACTTCTGACAGCGTTCAGTCTTCAGAAATCTGTTACGCTGCATAACAATTGCAGTTTGTAGGAAGACATTTGCATTATAGATGCCTTCCTGAGACAGTGATTAAATGAAGTGATTTGGCAGCCAGCAGGCAAAATGAGCAACAAACTATCTAGGGTGCACGTGGCAATATCCACAGCAACTAGCTTCTGATAATACTGCAGTCACTTAATGTCAGTTCTGGTCCCTCTGTAGAAGAGGGGTCGAGTGTGTCACGTGCGAAGATGATGTTGATGTGGTGTATCTTTGTGGCAGTTTCAGCAGAAGTCTCTCCAAATGTAGTTTGTGAAATCCTTCAAGTTGTAAGACTGAGACACATCGAGTATCTCATAAAACAGCCAAAGGTGCCCAGAGGAAGACCCTTGCACTCAGGGGATGCTGTGATCATGCAAGGCAGCCATGGACAGAGAAGGATTAAGCATAGTTTTGTGCTGCTGGGATTATTTGGCTTAAGTTTTCAGAATCAGAGGTGTGTGGCCATGGGTGTGCTTTGGTGGGAGTGGTGTGGGATGCAGTGGCAGTTACGTGTCTGGCTCTGCTTCTTGATGCATGGCAGCTGATGGTTACAGTAAAGCAAGAGTCAACTCAACACAGGCAGTTTTTTTCCATGTTGCTTGCCAGTAAGGCATGATTAGTGCAAAGTTCTTTTGCAGATGTGGAAGTGTCTGTGTTGGTGAGGGGGGAGGTTGTATGTATTGAGCACGTTACTGACACTCAGCTGTTTGTACCCCTTCCTGTCTCTTGCTGCACTGGCTGTCACTGCAGGCGTCCAGCCTGGCAGGGACCTTTGGAGGAAACGCACCACAAGGCATGTATCCTTCAACACCCGGGGGTTATCCACCAGTCCCTCCAGGTGGCTTTGGGCAGCCTCCACCAGGACAGCAGCCCTCCTACGGGGGGTATCCCCCATCAGGAATGCCAGCTTACCCAGGATACCCAGGCCAGCCCACGCCACCCCCTGGTCAGCAGCCTGGGAGCTACCCAGGACAGCCACCGGCAGCTTACCCAGGGCAGCAGCCCATGCCAAATTATCCACCAGGTCCAGCTGTGAATCCATCTGTGCCCTCTTACTCAGGAACTACAGGGCCTGCAGTCTCTCCTGTAACAGTAAGAGCATTCACTGCCTTTTTTTTTTTTTTTATATATATATATATTTCTCTACATTTTCTTCATTGTATTAGTGTAAACCAATCCTCAGATTGAAAATAAAGTTATGAAAAGAAGTTTGAGTGAAGAGAGGGAGAACCTTTTTAAATGGAACAATATAGATGTATATGACTTGAAATAGATGGTATTTTACTACATTATTCAAGAGGAAAGATTCGAAGTGAATTCAAATTTAATGAATCTTGCCTTTCCTAACTTTATGAAAGTATTGCCAGTTGTATGTACAGTATCATCAAACCTTAATTAATGGACAGCAGATTTAATGTCAATGAACCTGCTTGACCTTGCATTAATTTGTGTTTAGAAATGAGCAATTTTTTTTAAGTAGGGTTGATTTGAGTTTTCTGTATTACTTTTCTAACAAAAAGAAAATTGGTAACAGTGTGCATTTTTCCAAAGTAGTAAAACACCATATTTAACTGTTTAATGCTAATATGCAGCTCAACTTGATCTCATTTTAGCATGGAAACCGAGGCACAATCACTGATGCACCGGGTTTTGACCCTCTGAAGGATGCAGAAGTCTTAAGGAAGGCCATGAAGGGATTAGGTGAGCAGTCTGTGGAGTTACATTTCAGTTAAAAGTAGAATTGCAGCTTGATTCAGCACTGATCTTTCTCCACTGTCATGCATGTACTGAGTGGGATAGTTCATGTCATTGTCCTTGGTTATCAGAAGAATTATTGGAAGTTCATTTAGGCATAAACAACATAATGAGTTCTGTTTAGGTTTTTGTTGAGGTTTTTTGTTGTTGTTGTTGTTCTTACTGTGTTTGATTGGGGATAGAGCTTAAAGTTCTGTGGCCGTACACAAGAGTAGATACTGTAGATGAATTAAAGGCATACATGTCCTTCAGCTGGGTTTAGAAGAGTTAGGATCAAATGGAAACAGAAAGCTGAGTCGTCACATGACGTGGTGCTCATTCTGTGGTGTCTGTGTGCATGTACAGGAACCGACGAGCAAGCCATTATCGACTGTCTTGGAAGTCGTTCGAACAAGCAACGGCAGCAGATAATGCTGTCCTTCAAAACAGCTTATGGAAAGGTAAATACATCATGAGAACAGAAGGAAGAAGGAATAAGAGCCTACATTCCTTCAGTGGAAGTCAGAGGGCTTAGTGTTTGGAAAAAACGGATTGGAAAGAGCTTTAGGGGAAGATGGTTCGTAAACCATAGCTTGCTCAGGGTGCTACTTTTTACCCACTCTTGAATTCTTCATGCAGTGTTTCAGATAAAACATGTAAAGCAATTTCTCTCCTAAATGGTTACTTTGGCTCTTTGATCTGTGCAGTCTATTTAATTGGACCTTAATTATCTCAATGCACATATTACATTATTCTGGTTTTAGTGTTAAGTGGAACAGCTTTACTTCAAAGATACATTATTGGTGCTTGTGCCTAAAGAATTCTAATTAAAAATGCATATTTTTCATGTTTACTTTTGTTAAGTTTGGTCTTTATGCATTTTTCCTTGTTTTTCCTTGTCATTAGGATTTGATCAAGGATCTCAAGTCTGAGCTATCAGGTAACTTTGAGAGGACAATCTTGGCAATGATGAAGACACCTGTGATGTTTGATGCTTATGAAATCAAGGAAGCTATAAAGGTTTGTGTAGGAGATACAAATTTATAAGATAGAGGAAATAGTTGAGCTGATAAAATCTTTGGTTGCCATTTAAAAGCTTGGACTTACCTTCCCTCCTCTCTGTCAGGATGTTCAACCCACTGTTTGACTGTTCTGTACTCTGTTTCTTGGAGGTATATGGTAGTAAAATGGAGAAATGTTATTCCCACAGGTTAAAGACTTATTAAATAGTTTGTGTTGTAACAAAAAATATGTTGATGAAGAAATGCTCAAAAAAGGCAGAAACTGAGTTCTAACAGTCTGTGCTGTTCACTTGCTACATAGTCTTGAGTAAGGCACTGAGGCAGCTCTCTTCTAAGCCAGCCACTGTATGGGGAGCCTTTATTTCTGGGGTTTTTCTTAGAGCTGTAATACAACTGGTTATAAACCCACTCAGGGGTTTCCAGAGACTTTACACTTGGTACTCACGAATAGTTCAGAACATAAGGTTCATAAACATTTTGGTCAGTATGTACCCTTTTTTTATCTTTTCTCCCACCTCAGAAGTGTGTTTTTCTATCTCATGCTGAGCCTTTTCTAAAATATTTGTGAAAGTTTTGAGTACTTTATAGCAATACTACTATTTTATAAACATTTAGATTTTGTTAAAGAAAACCAGGTCAAACATTTGTATTTTAAGACAATGTTTGAATGAAGGTCAGTACATATATTTACGTGACCTTTGGTCACAATATTAAACTATCTATGAGGATGAAATAATATTAGCTGTCTTGTAATTGCAACTGCTATCTATTAGTTAGTGATTAGTTACCTGTTAGAATTAACAAATTATTCTTTAATGTTAAAAAAAATGGATTCTTAAAATGTCTTAAATCTGGGATGAAGGATGACATTTTTAAAATGAAAGTTTGTTTTCCTAATTTCAATTATCTGTTCAGTTTTGTATCTTTAATACATATCTGTGTCTTAGAAACATCATAAGTAATATTTAAATTACTTGCTTTGTCTTTTTCTATACAAGGTTATATTCTGAATTTTTTTTATATAATTTTATTACATTTCTTTTATACTAGGTTGTAGAAAAAAGATGAGAATCTGAAATCTGTTTTCTCCTCATGCTTTGTTTTAGGGTGTTGGCACAGATGAAAATTGTCTCATTGAAATCTTAGCTTCTCGCAGTAATGAGCATATTCAGGAACTCAACAGGGTCTATAAAGCAGGTTAGATTTCTTCCATTCAAATTTTCTTCTTTTTCTTACTTAATCACTGACTGATAACAGGAATTTAGGAAATGAGCAGGGATGTATGATGATTCATGATTTCATCTTTTTTCCAGAATTTAAGAAAACCCTGGAGGAAGCAATAAAAAGTGACACATCTGGACACTTCCAGAGGCTTTTAGTTTCACTTGCTCAGGTACTTGCCTGCTGGGATTTTGAAATTTGGTTTGTGTGTGTTTGTAAGTGGGGGGATTTCTGGTTGGTTGGTTGGTTGGTTTTGTTTTGTTTTTGTTTGTTTGGTGGTGGTGGTGGTTTTTTAATTTGAAAGGAGCCCATCAAAGCCCATCAGTAACACTTCTCAATCTTCTAATTCTTTCAGGGAAACAGAGATGAAAGTACAACTGTTGACATGTCTCTTGTCCAGAGAGATGTGCAGGTCAGTAGAAATGCTTCATCACTTCTAAGTACAGTGAACTCGTAACACTGCAATTTGACTGTGTGGTTTCTGCTTACTGTTAGTTTTGGACACCTTGTGACTTCTCTTACAGTGCTTAATTTTCAGTGGATGGAAGTGATTTGAAAAACCCTGATGGAGCATTAGAGCCGTGTAGGTGCATTACAGAGATGAAACTCTTGGGAATAGAGTCCACAGGATATTTTTCTTCCATTCTGTCAGCTCTCTGGCTTTTCCAGGTGTTTTATGATGCCATTGTGCTGTTTATTAAGGAAATTGCCCAAAGAGATTTGAGGTGCTCTGTGTGTGGATTAAATTTTAATTTATATAACAACCACTTTAGCTTTTGTGTGTTAGTTAAGGAACTCTGGAATTTTGCAGCAAATGACTTAGTAATGCTTGCCCAGTGACTTTTTCTGTATGTTCCATTTCCCCACATAGCAAAGGGAAAACGCTGGTTCATTTTAGCGTACTACTGTCACTTAAAGAGCAATGTAATTAGCTTTCTACATAGTATGCCTTAGCCAAAAGACAAGAATGTCCCAGAACACACCTAGAGGTGTAGAGAAAAAGCTAGATGTAAGGACTACTAGGAAGAACAGTTTTCAGGTACTTTGTAAACAATTTCCCTTCCTTTAGTAATCTGGAGACTCTTGTGTTTGAACACTTAAGCATCAAGATAGAAATGCAAGCAGAACATATTATAGGCAAGTTAGAATTAGTTGCTTGCTCCTGTTTTCCAGCAGTACGTAAGTTAAGAAATAAGTATAAAAAGTGGAGAGGCTGTAAGGAAGCAAATCTGTAAATCAGCTGTTCAGCCTGACTGTGTGTCTGAGTAATGAAGTGTGAATTCCCTCTGTGCTTAGGAGCTGTATGCAGCTGGAGAGAACCGTCTAGGAACTGATGAATCCAAGTTCAATGCCATTCTGTGTGCAAGAAGCAGGGCCCACCTCAGAGCAGGTAATGGTGTCCTAAATAAGCAGGAACTTGATTTTGTTGCGTGTAATGGTGAAAATGTACAACGCCACTCTGCCCCTGAATTTCCCCCATCTGTAAAATGAGCACAATGAGATATCAATGAAAAGCCGAGTGAATTCTGCTTTGAAAAGGGTAAACAAATGCTACATGTTGTAGTCATCTTTCTTAAATATCAGAGCAGGTAGAGGTCATGCTTGTTCAAATGTTTCTCTGACAAAAGAATTGACAAACTAGAGTTGTTTCAGCTTTGCATACTTGTGCGTGCACAAGACACTTGCAACCTTCCCTTCCCCTCTTACTTGTTAGTATTAGGTGTTACATCAGTCTCTAGTGGTGGGAATGTTTTAGTAACTACACTAGAACTTTTAACGATATTCTATTGGGGTATTGAGGTGCTTGAATGGAGGAAAGGGGTGTGTATGAGAACCTGAATATTTTCTTCTTAATTTTATTGACACCCAAAGCCTTTCCTAGAAGAATTTTCACTGTTTCCCTTACAGTGGTTTCTTGGTCTAGCCCTTTAATAATAAGGACAAAACTAGACAAGCTACAAGGAGCAAGATAAGGTGTAAATGGAACAATATGCTTGATAGCACAGCATTAGTCTTTGAGATGATAAAACTTGTGTACGTTATAGTATCAAGTTGAGAAACACAATTTAAAGTGAAGCCATCCAGCATGTACCAGTGCCACCCATTTTTGCAAAGCTAACTCCTGAAAACTCTCTTTTCCATTAACAGTCTTCAATGAGTACCAGAGGATGTGCAACCGGGACATTGAGAAAAGCATATGTCGGGAAATGTCTGGAGACCTGGAAAAGGGCATGCTGGCTGTAGGTATGTGCCATCTTAGCAAGTTCATTTCTGGTGTTCTGCTACAACTGAATTGGCTCAGATGGCATCTGTGGCTTCAGATAAGGATGTTCTTGTTGGTAGTAATTCCAGTTTCCTGCTTTTCATGTTGAGCTTTCTGTGAAATCACTTGTGGTTGGTAAAGTGGGGCACTTAATTCACCTCAAAATGACAGGTCAGGCTTTTGCCACAGGCAACTACAGAATTTAAATTTCACGTGTTAAAATGAGGAGAGAATTATTAACTGTACTTGACACTGTTTTAAGAAGTGAAGAGAACCTGTACCAACTGCTGAGTCAGGGTATTTTCAGCTACTGAGAATGGAGTATTTGGGACAGCCTTGGAAATCCAGCAAAATATGGGCATTGGCTCTGATTAGTTACCTCTGCCTGTTTTTAATAGAAAGAAAACTTAAATTTGATTGCAAAGGGGTTATTTTTTTCCCATTTCCTGTGTTTACAGATTTGTTAAATCTTTGTTTTTAATTGCCTCCAGTACTGAGGAGTGAAAAATCATACCTCACATCTAGTGTTGTCCCTTCAGAGCTCATCATTGATTTCCATGAGGTTGGGACAAGGCCTCCAGTTGTTGTGTAGTAGTTTTATCTGAAATGTTTTACTTTAGATGTAATTGTGAGCCACTTTCTCGTCTTTTGTCTTTACATCTCCATTTCTTTTTCTGTTTATTACTGTAGACATATTGTGGTACCTAGAGCTCCTCCTTTAAAGGTGTTTTTCTTTGGTTTTAATATGATAGTGATGTAATGAGAAAACAGCAAAAAAACCCCAAACCAAAACCCAGACATAAAACCCTCCTAAAACTCCTACCAAAATAGGAAAAATGATCTTTCATCACTTGGAAATGAGATATGAGAGGGTAGTTGGTTCAACTGCCAATTGTTTAGGACACAACAAATTTTTTTCATTGAAGTTTGCAACAAAATCTTGCAAAATAGGAACCAATTTTAAAACTCTAATTGTTTTCATTCCTCTCTTGTGCATATGTGAACTGTATAACTACTGTTCTTACTCTGCTTGCCACAGTGGCACTATACCGGTCTATGAATGACCCAAACTGGGTCTAGCTCATTGTGTGTTGATACATTTGCAGACGTTTTCCAGGATTCAGAATATGTCATCTCAGAAAGTATTGTTATAAAAACAAGCTTAGGGAAAAGAGATATTTCACAGTGTTTGTAGAAAAAGATTGCCTTGGTAAAGAAACTTTATTCTCAGAGTTTGGAAGTAATTTGACTTAATGGAGCTTTGCAATGACTTGACAGGTCTCCATGTAGATGGATTCAAAACTGAGACTGTATCTTGCAAACAAGTCAATAGCCTTCAGAGCAAGGCTTGTCATTAATATTCACTGAATAACTTCCTTTATTGAATAGATTTTGTGAAGGTTTTTCTATTTATATTTGTACACACATATATCTAAATCAGTCAATGATGTTAACATCATTTGTTCTGTGAACCTTATTTGCAGGAAAAAAAGGTTTTCTAATTGAAAATATTTAATTTTGCTTTCTTTAAAGCTTTCTGGATTATACAACTGGTAACTAACAATAACATCTTTAAACATCCTAAAGTGCAAGTGTGTTGTTTTAGCTAAATACAGTGATACAGAAATCTGCATTTCATTTTGTCATTCACTTTTGAATAATATTATATGTATCATTAGCAGTTGTGTGGTGAGCTGCTATCTCTCATCTACATTTTCCTACTCAGAAAAGTACTTCTTCCTGTATAGAATGTGTGTTGCCGTGAAATAATATTTAGGTTTACCCCTTTGATTCTGTATTGATTTTGTGTGATTGATTTTGATACCCTTCTGTGCTATAAAATGTCAAGTGTGGTCTGTGTTTTCTATAGTTTGCCACGGATTGCATGATTGTTTACTTGTAACCAACATTGCACCAATGCGTAGATTTCAATTCTGATGAGAGAAGGAGGATTCTTTCATTATCCTGATTACCAAGACAGTGATTTGATTTAGGTTTTGCTCTTTCAGATTTCTAATGAACTGTGCTAATTAAATCTAAAATCCAGTCATCACTAAATGAGCATGTTAGGAATTTTTCAGTCCTGATGAAGTTGGTGGCTAAAATAAAACTTTAAAATTAGGGTTATGACAGCTCACCCTTAAGGGGAAGGAAGCACCTAAGACTCTGCTGTCGTAGGTGGCTGCACAAGTTACATTAAGGCATCACTCAAATTTCCACACTTTGCACGTGCATGGCTTGAAAATTCAGAACTAAGAAGAAGCTAGGAGTACTATGTGTTCCTTCAAGTCTTCTGCCACCTTCTTATTCCCACTGTTTCCTTCATAAGCAAGAATCTGGTGATTAGACTTTGAAGGTTCATTGTGGCTGCTTCACACTAGATGGTTTCTAGTGACAGAAAAGCTTGCTTTGAACCATGAAGTGTCAGTTCTTTAACTTTTAACTGCAGCTACTGTTTGGATTAAAAACCATTTCAATGACTAACAGCAGGAGTGGAAGCTGCATTGTATCAAGTATATGTTTATGTAAAAGTAAAGCAGGTGACTATGTAGGATAAAGTGAAAAATTATTGAGTTCTGATTGAGGAGGAATGTCTGATTTCTGTAATACTGTTTCTTTTTGCAGTTAAGTGTCTCAAGAACACACCAGCTTTTTTTGCAGAGAGATTACAGAAAGCTATGAAGGTGGGTGCCTGGGACAAGTTACATAAACTTATACTGTGGGGTTTTTTTTAATTCTTGTATAGCTCATTGGAATGAACTGTTCAAGGGATTACTTTTTTTAGTGGGTAGATGACTAACAGGATGCAGTCATTATTATGAAAGACTGGAAAAATCTAGCTAATTTGATCCACTTAACAGAGAGATGAATACAATCATACATAAAACAAAGTCTTCACTTGGTAAAGCATAAATATGCTTAAAACTAATTGAAATTAGTATCTCTTAAGTAGGGAGGTCTAGGAGAAATAAATAAATAGGCCATTAAACTAACTAAATTTTCCTGTCCCCTTGTACCACTGTCAGTCCCCTTCTTTTTTTTCAAACTGTTCTTATGCAGAGAAATTACTTAGTGCCCTACCATGAAATCTAATTTGTTGAAGCATGACAGGTCAAATTATTTTCAAGCCTACTGAAGTCAGTGGGGTTATGCTAGTAAACAGGTATTTTTGGGGGGATGATTTATTTTTATTGGTGCTGTATCATACAGCATTTCCACACATCATTAATACATTACATTGCTGTTTGGTTCGTTTCAGGGAGCAGGAACAAAAGACAGGACTCTGATCCGAATCATGGTGTCGCGCAGCGAGGTTGACCTGCTGGACATACGTGCAGAATACAAGCGGATGTACGGCAGATCCCTCTACACGGATATCACTGTAAGACCTGGAGTGTTAATCTTCCCTGCCGTGCCATCCTTCCTGGGGGTAGAACATGGATGCTGACACTGAGTAGCTGTTAACTGCTCTGAGTGTAGCTGGCTGTGTTGGCTTGCTGCATTCCTCAGGAGAGTGGAGTCTGACATGCTGGAGGACAGCACTTGCTTTTGCATGGGGGTAGGTGAGCTAGAAATGGGAAGGAAACTAACAGATAAGGAAGGGAAATTGGTCCAGAGAGGTTTCAAAGACCTGGTTTCGAGTCTGGTCTCTGTCTCAGTCCTGAATATGATCTTGTAGAAGCCACTCAGTCCTCCAATTGAGTAACAATGGTGCTCTACTTCATATGTGTGTTGAAAGAATGTAAAGCTCCTAAAAGTCTTGTAGAGGATTGCTTTCTCTTTCTCTTGAAAATTCAAGATTTTGGAAACAGACAAAACTTCAGATTCTTTAGCACTTGATCCACCATCCTATTGCTGTTAGGAGCTGTAGCAACAGTCAAGAGGGTGCCTGGACAATGGGAGAGTAGTAAGAGCTGGAGGAAAGTGACTGGTGCCACCTTCATTTACCTTGTAATGAGGGTGCCAGATCTATTAAGCCTTGTTTATTCCTTCTGCATTTGACACTGAGGGGCTGTAACTTTGGTGGCATTTAGAAAGAATCCTGCGAAGATTCTGAAGGAATAGGTGTGTGCCAAATGTCTTGCTTTGCTTGCTAGTGTTGCTGCCATTTGCCACAGAGGATTACCCAGCAGGAGCTTTTGTCAAGTGTGTAACTCTGAAGATGTGCTTCTACAACAATGGTTGCATGTCCTGTAACCATCATCGTATGAGTAAAAAGCAGTGAGACACTGGTGGGAAAGCTGTGCATCGTTCCCTCACACACTTCTCTTTTGTTCTGGCATTCAGAAACAGAACAGGCCATACCCATTTAATGGATTGAACTTAGTCAAAACTTGGTGTCAGCAAATGTGGAGCATGCAGGCACATGGTTATGTGTATGTAAACTCTGCTTCTTATTTATGTAAAAGTAGAGCCAAATCATCCCTGGAAAGAAAGTTCTTAGTTCTTCAGCCCTGGTTTCATCTCTTTTGGTTGTTCTTCAGCTTTTCTTTTTCTGGGTTTCTTTCCAGGGTGATACTTCAGGAGACTACCGGAAAATCCTACTCAAGTTGTGTGGTGGAAATGACTAAATGGAGCATTGAGCTTTTCTTTTAAAAGCTACTATTTTCATGGTTTTGCTGTAAAGCATCTTTGATTCTCCAAAAGTAAATATGTAATGACTTGTTTCTTCTAAAGCAATTGCATTTTAAAAGATAATATTGCATATATCTTCAGTTCAAAAATAGTAGGTAATAAATGCCAAAAACGCCCAAAATACCAAGCTTATGTGCCATCTGCTCAGGATTCTGTATAGCACTCTCAACAATCCATGAATGGCAGGTCATTATTTCTTTCCTGCTTATATCATGCTGAAATAATGTTTGTTTTATAAAACAAAAATCACAGTTGTATGATTTAAGGTGTTGTTTTGTATAAACATTGCATGCCATTTGAATGCAAGTTTTATATATATGGTATGCAGAGTTGGTTTCAGGCTGTCTGACTCCCTGATATGTGGAGATAGCAGCTTGAGTTTCTGTGTCTAATTAAGACACAAAAGAAGTTTTAAAGAAGTTTTGTCAAGTTCTGTTTTCTTTCCTTGATTCTTTTCAAGGAAGATGTGTTCCACATTTCATTCTTGCGAAGGCAGCCTGTCACGAGGCAGTAGTAGTGTTTACAGCAGTAAGGATTCTATGGTTAATGTTTAAAGGTTTTGCATTGTGCCTTAAATATATGTATGTAAGAAGAGATTATGAAATTAAAGCTGTCTAAATCTTTGCAGATTATGCTTTTTGGTGTTCATGTTGATTTATTGTGTGAGTAATGACTCACTTTATGTAACTTCCTTTTTCCATAGAAGTTCTCTCCTTGAATCTACAGGATTATTCGGCAACTCTTGTGTTGATGACAGTTTGAGATTTGTGTGCTGTTGATGAGCAATTGTCTGTACACGATATATGTAATCTGTAGTTATTGCTCAGTATTTGCATTTTTGCATGTTGTATTTTATCTTATTCTGGAATTCTGATTTTTTTTTTTTTTGTCTGCTGGCATGGATAACATCTCTCCAGCTTGTCGTTCTCAAAGATAGAAACATCTAAAGGAAAAAAGTACAAGGGGGGGGAAGAGTTTTTTCTAACTAGGTCAGTGAGAATAGCCTGCTTGTTAATCAAGAACATGCAGACTGCTCTTATTTCACACACATAGGCATGCACTCTCTCTATTGTGTAAGGGCCAGGCAGGTCCTTTTTCCTAGAAGAAGTTTTGTTTCTGTTTGTCTTGAAAGAAAATGGTGATATTGTGCATTTAATTGTGGACTGTATTGTCACTATGGCAAGTGTAGAGATTATAGAATATGGTGGCCGTGTGTCCATATCACAGATTCTGACCAGGATGTGCTGATAGGATTCCTGTTTCAGTCAATGGCAGCAACGTGACCCAGACTGCTCCATCCACTCATTTCTGTCAGACAATCTGAGCATGTCCTGCGTGGAAACTGCAGCTGAAAATGTATCTTCATTGGTTGGCACCAATAACAAGAATTCATTTCTTTGCCAGGGAAGGAGGAAGCTTTTGAATTCAGGCAAGTTTGTTAGGTGTGCTCTAGTCACAGACACCACCTGATCTTGTTTTCTTACTGACAATGTTGTATTTGAAATGCAGTTTTGATAAAGTAGGGCTGCTGAAATATTTAAAATATAAAGCTTTGAAACACTGTCTAAAAGCAAATAGCTTTTTATTATAAAGCACAGGAACACAGAAGGCAAACTACAGCTGAGGATTGTTCATCCCTGCACAAATTCTGGAAACACAGGCTTATTAAATGAGAAAAAGTGCAACTGTTGATGACAACCACGCTGTTACATTCGACCATCTTCTGTCTTCACAGTGCTCAGCTGGTATCTGTATAAAGAAGAGTTGATAAAATTATTTTTGGTTATGAGATCAGGATCAATCTTTGTGGATAAATCTCATTTAAAAAGTACTACTCTAAAGTGGGGAATTGTCACTTTGATTCATGAAATCACAGAAGGAAGATGCGATCTGTAATTCTTGAGCCATTTGGCAGTTGTCGCAAGCCCCATCTGAGTAGTACTTACTATAGATATGCTGCAGATGCACTGCAGTTGACCCAGGAGTTCCATTTTAAATTCCTTGTTACACTTTACTGGGATACTTTTCACTTTTGTTGGAATACTCCCTTCCATTGCAGGGGAGTAACTTTATTACTTAGTTACTTATTTATTGCCCCTCAGAGAAAACTGGACATTTTAATGGATAACGAAGTTGGTGAGGACATATCAATCATGGTGCCCAGATCAGTGTAGCCAGCTGCAAGAACTAAAAACCAGCATAAACTCTACTGTCTACTTCGAGCCCACCTTCTGTCATGTAAATGCGCAATGGCATGCCCATGTACAGATATCACAAATGAACAAACAAAAACCCCAACGCTGACAAAACTGACTTCATAAACATTTCTGTGGATGCTTATACCTTTCCACAAGTGGTTTATTTTCCACCAGGAGTGTGTCTTGCCATGTTAAATCCACTGTTGATATTTGGGCAGAGAATGAAGAGTACAGAGCATCATAAGGTAGTCTAATCCAACTGATTTCTGTTGTGGTTTAATTTATTCAAAATCATCTATCCGGAACATCTATCCGGAAGCACATTTTGTGTGAAGGGCTTGCATGTCAAAGTTGAATTTAAGATGTCAAAATGGTAATACCTCCAGTACTTTTTTTCTAATTTATTTTGTTCCCGTCCTTTATCTTGTGATATATGATGCTAAAGAATCACAGCATCTTAAAAGTGTAAGAGACTTGAAGATTGCTTAGTCTGTCCTATTGTTCCTTGTTTTATTCTCTCTGGTAGTGAGGAAGAAAACAGCTGTCGCTGTTGTGGCAGTCTTGGCAATTTTGGGGGCTACTTCAATCTTTAGACTCAGCATTACCAACTGAACAACTTTTCTGTGTAGCTCATGTATCTAGCTCTTTGGGGTTTTGTTTGATTGGTGGTGGTGGTCCCCAGCACCCCCTGTCCCCTTTTCTTTCAGCCCTTTCTTTAGTGGTTGTTGAAGCCTCATGTTTCAAACTGGACCCAATATTTCAGCTGAGGCCTTATCTACCCTAACTGAATGAAGGAATGAGTTCACATCTTGGGGAAGAAAAGATGGCATATTTGGTAATAACATATGTAACACTTCTTTCAGCGTAGGATATACTCAGCCAGATACTGACCATCAAAAATGTCTGTAAGTGGAGTTCCTGGAATGATGGGGATGTTTGATGTTGTCTCGTTGATGATGTTTAGGAGTGATTTGACTTCTGATTCCAGGTGCTCCACGGTTTTTATTACTTTCTAATGGAAACAAAGGAGACAAATGGACAACAGTAGGTAGTCAAAGGGTCAGGTGGAAGGAATGTGTAAACCCAATGTCCCATAATGCTAACAGCTAGTTTAATTTATATTGCGCATTGCAGGTTTAAATATTTGTTGTGTTCTGCTGGCCTCTAGCGGCACCAAATATTAGCACTTTGTTTTGCTGGAGTTACATTACAGCACTCCTGTATGAAGAATAACCCATCATTTGACTTCTTGGAGAGAGCTTTGCATTAATTTGTTTTTAATTCTTTATTATTTCTGAGCCGCCATCATCTCCAATAAAAGAATCTGTGTGGATGATGAGAGGAGCTGATGGGGTGTAAAGAAGAGGGCTGAGAGAGCAGAAGAGCGGTAACATTGCCATTTTGAGAACTGACAGCATGGAGTTTGGCAACTGCCCAGCTGAGAATAGTTAGCTTGTATCTTGGGAGTGCTTAAGACAGCAGGGGAAAAAAACCACAGAACTTTGCAGCTTTCATAGAATCCCAGTCATAGAATTCATTTAGCTCTTGAGTGTCAGCAAGGGCTGAGCAGAAACTCCTCCGTCAGTCTTGAAGGCACTTGCAGAACCACATCTAGCCTGAGATTGTTGGATTAAAGGCACAGTTATAAACATTTTAGAAAAGTCTGATATATAATAGTGATTGGTTGATCAGTTTTTTGGAATCGTCAAGATTATATGTTTCTAGAGATAATGGCTTTACAGATAGTTACAAGCTAAGACATCTGAAAAAAAATTGACTAGAATAAGGTAATGAAGAGATGCTGTCTAGAAATATCATTCTTTTTCTTTGGTCAAAAGAATAGGGCAGGGGTCTGCTAAGGTTCAGGAGCCAGCACAGCCCCTCTTACCTCTTCAATAATATCTAAGCGTTCGTGGATCGTGTCATGTTCATCGCACCAACTTCCCCTTCCCAAACTTTCGGGTAACACGACAGGATCTGCAGCAGCTGGAAAAACAGACACAGTTAAATAGCAGGAGCTTTTACATAGCAATCCTTGCCTTTCTGACTTCTGAAGCTAAACAGCATTGCTTATGAGGCAAATGTAGGAACTGAACCTCTCTTCCAATAACTACAGCTATGCCCCAGCTCTGCGTTTCCTTGCCTGCATGTGTCACGGTTCATTGGAACAAGGTGTTTGCTTTTGCCATGTTTTGTTTATGTGTGTGTGTGTGTTTTATATGGGTTTTTTTTCCTACCTGTGTGGGGTAAGTTTACAGACTGTAACTCTGTCTCTGCAAGTATAAAACGTAAGCGTTGGGAAGATCTGCCTTACACAACAGTTCCTCTTGGACTTTGTTCAGAAGCAGCTGGTACGGTAAAGCTTTGAAAAGTAGCTAATTTTGTCCACTTTCCAAGTGGATACTGATGATGGCTGATGATTCCTCCGTGCCAGAAAGTTGTCCCTGACAGTCTGACTTTGCAATGTGAAGAGGAACAATGAAAGTATGTACAGCTGATGTCATTTGCTGACCAAGTCACTCTTATATGCTGCTGTATGCAAAGTCACTTATCTCTCACTAACCTGTGTTTACCTCTCAGTATTCAAGAGCTCTTGCTCTTTGAACTTTTCTATTCTGCTGGCTCAGTTCCATGAAAGGTCAGTACCTGCTGGTATCCATGCTTTAATGGAGCCAATTTCCGTAACTTCTGTGCAACATTCAGTAACATTTAGATTTTAATATGTGTGCATAGAATTGTTGCAGAGTATTTTAAGCCTCACTAAGGTGATAATGTATGTTGCCCCTTGTAAAATTAGGTCTTGTTCATTTGAGGCTTGAAGCAGCTATGATAGTGAGAAAGCAGCAGTAACTCATTCTGTCATTTGATTGTAACAAAGAGAAAACTATGAGCTTGTGTTATAACAAACAGTAAAAAAAACACAAGAGCAGCAACTTCAGTACTTTTTTTGCCAGAGCAGTGCTTTGGAACTGCTTCACTGCAAGTCTATGCCAAAATTTCTGGAGTGCAGGTGTCAAATGACAGCAAACACGTGTTAGTAAGGATTGTAATCACTGCAGTTTAGTGGGATGAGAGATGTACTCTGAGTTGGAATGGCATCCTTGGAATTGGAGGGTGGAGGGCAGGGAGGAGGAGAGAATTAAAGTGTGACCTGGTATACTGGGCATTATTTAAGAGTTTGTTTGGCGGAGGTTTGGTTGGGGATTTTTTTACAGCATTCACCAGGAGGTGGTGCTGTTAGGATGGAATCCCAAAGACTTCATCTACTGAAGGGTGCTGAAATACAGCAGCTGCTTTGCAGTTGCCCTTTTTTCCTCCTTTGCTGCTCGTGGTAGTGGTTTATGAGTGTTGTTACCATCTAACTTAGTAGTAGTGAACCATGCTAGTTCTTAAAATTTTTATTTCTTTACATTTTTTTTCCATCATGACTGGAA